ATCCAAACAAACTTCGAAGAAACAAAAGCCAAATCAAACGAAACAAAATAAAATCATAAAAATGCTATCCTTAGTACAACTGTCTAGCGGTTTCCTCACATGCAACGAAAGTAGGAAAATATAGTAAAATTATGCTTAGGCTTGCAAACCGAGGGTTCACCACTGCAAAAGAGTCCCCAAACATCCTACCAAAAACTCCTCCGGCAAATGTCTCCAAATTTCAGTCAACATACACTTCCAAAGCTAAAGAAGAAGGATACAGATGAAGTGGAACTTGCGTAGAGAAGAAGAGGTTAGAAGCCAAGACGAAATAGAGAGGAGGAAAGGGGATGGAACAAACTCTCAAGCTTTTCCAAGAGAAGAAACCCTCAGGTTTTTGTAGAGACTTTGCTCAGAATTTTCAACAACCTTTTCCATCCAAAAACAACTCTTTTTTATAGGCAAGGCTAGGACTGATACCGTAGTCATCGCCTTCTTCAAGCTCTCAAATGCTGAATGTGGCCGCCTCCCCCCATAGGAACTCGTCATTCTTTAACTGTTTAGTGAGTGGCCATGCTATGGAGCTGTACCCCTTCACGAACCTCCTGTAGTAACCCGTCAGTCCTAGGAATCCCCTCAATTCCTTCAGATTTTTTGGCACTGGCCACCTTATTATTGCTTCAATTTTGAACTGATCTGCTGCAACTCCCTCTTTTGATACCACATGGCCCAAATACTCTACACTGGTGCTCCCGCAATACCTCTAACACCCTCTTCAAATGCTCCCAATGCTCCTCTTATATCCTGCTGTAGACCAGGATGTCGTCAAAGAATACCAGTATAAATCGTCTGAGATAAGGTTTGAAAACCTTATTCATAAGAGCTTGGAAAGTAGCTGGAGCATTGGTGAGGCCAAATGACATCACCAGGAACTCATAACGTCCTTCATGAGTTCTAAAGGCCGTTTTGGGTACATCCTCCTTCATTTAGATCTGATGGTAACCCGATTTAAGTCTATCTTGTTGAAGATCACGGTCCCACTCAATTCATCTAGCAGCTCGTCAATGACTGGTATAGGAAACTTGTCAGGTATAGTTTCCTTATTGAGTGCTCTATAGTCCACACAAAAATGCCAGATGTCGTCCTTCTTTTTCACCAATAGAATAGGGCTAGAAAAGGGGCTGATGCTGGGTCTGATGATTTCTGCCTCCATCATCTCTCTAATCAACCTTTTTATTTCATCATTCTGATACTGAGGGTAGCGATAAGGTCTGACACTGATGGGCGACACTCCCTCCTTCAACACGATGGCATGCTCCTGCTCTATCTACGGTGGCAATCCCTAAGGTGGCTGAAACACCTCTTGAAACTGCTGAATCAACAGCTGAATGGAGAGGGGTATGTCTCCTCCCTCCTCCAATCTCGCTCCCTCCAAACTGTGCAACTCCACCAAATACCCTCCGCCTGCCAACTGGATATCTCTCACGATTGTTTTAAGAGAAACCAGGTATTTGGAAAGCCCGCACCCCCACTACCTTCCTTCCATCCACCATCAACTCCATCGTGAGTGCTCCCCAATTCACTTTGGTGTCACCCAAAGTTTGCAGCCATTTCATCCCCAGGATGTTGTCCGTGCTCCCAAGCTCCAGTGGAAGAAAGTCCTCCCTAACCTGTATCCCCTGGATCGTCAGTCGCACTCATTTGCAAATCCCCTAGCCTTTATCCACTTTCCCTGTGCCCATCATCACCTCGTAACAACCGGTGTCCACCAATCTCACTCCTAGTTGGTCGACGACCTGGGTGGAAATGAAATTGTGAGTAGCCCAACTATCAATTAACACCACAACCTCCCGGTCCTCCATCTCTCCCTTCACCTTCATAGTTTGATTCGTAGTGAATCCTACCATTGAGTTCAGGGAGACCTCAGTTAGATCCAAGTGTAGCTTCTCCTCCATTTCCTCCTCTGTCTCCTCCTCACCTCCCTCCTCAGTTTCCTCGTCATCGCAGACGGTGAGAACTTGAAGAGTTCGGTCCTTACACCGATGTCCTGGTTTGCACTTTTCATCGCATCGGAAGCACAACCCCTTAGCCCTCTTCTCCTGCATCTCTTTCTCTGTCAGCGGGTTGAAGTTTCCCTCATTTCCTCCTCATGTCTTCTCCTTGGTATCCTCTCAATTCCCTCCTGTTGCAGGACCTTTAGGTGCGAGGTGAGTAGTTGTCATCCTGTACGTGCCCCCGGTGCTGCTACTCCTGGCTCCCTTCTCCAAACTCCTCTGATTTTCCACCAGTTGGGCCAACTTCATGGCTTCCCCCAAGTCACGGGGCATCAACACCTTCACTGCTGCTCGAATCTCTGCCTTCAACCCTTTCATGAAATTCTCCTCCAACACTTATCTGAGAGTCACTCCACCCTACTAGCTAGGTGCTCAAACTGCTCCCTGTAATCTGCCACTGGTCTCTCCTGTGTCAAAGCAAAGAACTGCTCATAGAAGTCTCCTCCCCGATCGGTTTGGAAACACTCTATTATGCAGTTTTTAAATTCCCTCCAGTTCCTGATCGGCCTCCGTTGGTCTCTCCACTGAAACCACGATAGGGCTTTCTCTTCCAAGCACAATCCCACTGCTGTCAGCTTCTCCTCCTCCATCAACCCATTAACGGCAAAGTACCGCTCTACCTTGTAAATCCATCAATACGCATCTTCTCCTTCGAAGATGGGCATCTTCAACTTCCTCACCTTCTGGTCACCACCATTTCCCCTGATTCTTTCATAACTTCCCATTTCCCAAGTGCTCGGTCCACCCCATGTGTCCTGCTCTTCCCTTGCTCTGCCATAGCCCAAACTCCCTTCGAAATCCCCCCTTCTGTCTTCAAAATCAGCACCACGGCGGCCATAGTATTCCTCCTGGCGTTCCCCATATCCTCTTCTTCCTTCCCTCTGGACAGGCTCCAGATGGGGTCTTCTTCCTTCTCCTTTCGCAATCTCCACCTCATCTTCCTCTCTATGGATTTTCGAATTCTTATTTTTTCCTTCCATCCCTTTGGCCACTGAAGCCGCTGTTTGATTTTGAATCTCTAACATTTTATTCATCATATCTCGGAGGTGGGCGACTTGTCCCTCCATGGAAGAAATAATTTCCTCCACCATTGTTTTGATTTGATTCATCTCTCCTTCAAGTCTTTCCTCAAATGCATCCACTTTTTTGGCCGCCATCATAACCCGGCTTTTGTAGATTCACAAAACCAGGATTTTGGAGTAAAAAAAAAACAGCAACTTCTTCTTATTTTGGGCGAAAAATTGCTGCTGGAATTTGTCGAAAACAGCCTCCACCGGTCCCGAGACTTGCTTTGATACCAATTTGATAGAAATTACTCGAATTCGCAAGCAAACCTATCACTAATTGGAGGAAAATAGCGAGATGTAAGCAAAATCTGGGCGAAATCAGCCCCAAAGCGATAGATTGCATCATTGCAATAAGGGAAGCAAAGCAAAAAACAACACGAAAGCAAGATACAAATGATCCTCAATTCGAGAGGAGGATCGTTCTCTCCCAATCTCTAGACAAGATGCCTAGAGCCCAAGTTGCCAAAGAAATTCCAAGAGAAGAACAAAACAAAGCATGAAAACTAACCCTAGACCAATCCCCCTTATAATACAATTAGTTTCCTAATACAAACCTATTTCAAATCTATCTCATTCAAAAATTCCCTCTCCCCTAGCCACCCACTCCTTCCCAAAATTCCCATGCGGGCCCACATCTAGGCGGAATCAAAGGGGGCGGAACCCCTTGTTCCGCCTCCTGTAATATTGAGCCTGCCCCTGGGCCGGCCTATCACTTACCCAGTTAGTTTCAATTTTGCTAAAGTCATGCGATGATACTCTGATATTGTTTGCCATTCAATGAGTTATCCATATTCTTTACCTAATTACGAAACACATAAGATATATTTTCTCATCAAATGTAGATTCTTCAAATTTAACACTTAGTTATTATGGTTCCTTGGTAATCTAAAAATCAACCAAAGATCTCTCAAGTATTATTTCATAGTGTATTGGTTTTTACTCTTTGATTTGGTCCTCTTAGTTCTATATTAAGTGAACCAAGTTTTCTGGCTTTTCTTCACCGGATAGCAAGTATTGATTCTCTTTTGGATTGGCAGGAAATCAATAATTCTTTGTAAATTTAATGTTTTACAGCACTGGAAAGTAATGCAGCTTTGCTGGTTTCCTTCTTCTGAATGTTGGAGATTGGGTATTTCTCCGTGTGAGGTCCAGTCATCACCTGGGAAGCTTCTGGAAGCAGCGGTAGCAACTATAGACGAGATATAAGGCTCTAGAGACTGCTGGACTGCAGCTGTACTGGTAGCAACAGCGGGGTTAGCTGCGGCTCAAGCAAACTTTTGTGTCTGGTAGATCAGTGGGGGCTTGGTGGCTGTAGGGAGAGGTTTGGAAAACATAGAAAGGATTTTAGATGAGCCTGAATTGAATTTATTGCAGGAAATTAAGCCATTACCTTAAATGATAAGATCTTATCTAGCCCTAAATATTCTCCTAAAACAAGAGGAAACCTTATCTGTGATGTCAAAATAGCAAAGAATTGCGACATAAATTATCATAATATGAATATAAATTCAAAACCAATTCATCTAAAATTAGTTCAAAAATTCAAAATGTATCCTTATCCTATTATTATGTGAATTTTTCTTATTAATTTCAATGTTGTGATATGAAAATCATCACCGTTGGTGATTCAATTGTGAGAGTAACTTTCTCTTTTAGAGTTATTTTAAGTAAACAGTTGGATTGACATCCCATTTATGATCTGGCTCACAAATCTTAGTACATATTTTGGTAAAATATTAGTTTAATATGGCGTTTTTATTATCTTGGGCATATAGCTTCGCAATTGGAGGAACAATTGGAAAAAAATACATGCTTTTGCTTAACAAGTAGGTAGTTAATTATGTATGATATTAAGATAACTTGTACTAGTTTGGAGATAACAATTCTTATCCTTTTGTAGGCTAATTCTTTGATTAAGGAAGAGATGAAGTTTCTTCGGGTGGCTATGGGACATGAAAATGAGTCATTTGATGATTTTGTTAAAGCTCGTGATGCATGCCAGGAAGATTTAATGTTCTTTCCGGCACGCAATACTTATGGCTTAGCCAGCGTTGCTGGTAGCAGTGAAAAGCTTGCAGCTCTACAGAATGAATTTGAGATTGTGAAGAAGAAGATGGATGACGAGGCCAAGAAAGCTACACGCCTTGAACAGAAGATTAAAGTTCTGACTCATGGATATCAGGTACAATTGCCTACAATATATATTATACATCATGTAGTTCTGAGCTTGAAGAATCTCTCTCTCTCTCTCTCTCTCTCTCTCTCTCTCTCTCTCTCTGTCCTAGTTTTGTCTATCAGACCATTTTTGAGCTTTTCATTTAGCTTTTGGTTCCTGCTGCTTTCCTACCTATAAAAGTTAATATTATTTCTGTACTATGGATGAGCAGATGAGGGGTGAAAAATTGTGGTCACAAATAGAAGCCACATTCAAGCTAACGGGAACAGCATCAATCGAGCTGGAATGTTTCCAAGCCTTACAGAAGCAGGAACGCGCAGCAGCTTCCTACAGGATTGATAATTTGATTGATGAAGTCAATAAGCAGAAACAGCTTGAACGCACTCTGCAGGATCGATACCGGGATCTCTTAGTTGAGGAAGAAAGAATTCAGAGGATGCTTGAAGAACACAAAGCACGTTTGCAAGCAGAGGAGGAAATGGCCGCAAGTATTCGTGCCGCCGAGGAGGAAATGGCTGCTAGAAAGCGTGCTGAGGAGGAAACGGCTGCAAGTATTCGTGCCGCCGAGGAGGAAATGGCGGCTAGAAAGCGTGCTGAGGAGGAAACGGCTGCAAGTATTCGTGCCGCCGAGGAGGAAATGGCTGCTAGAAAGCGTGCTGAGGAGGAAACGGCTGCAAGTATTCGTGCCGCTGAGGACGAAATGACCGCCAGAAAGCCTGTTGAGGAGGAAATGGCTGCAAGTATTTGCGCCGCTGAGGACGAAATGGCTGCAAGTATTTGTGCTGCTGAGGACGAAATGGCCGCTAGAAAGCGTGCTGAGGAGGAAATGGCCGCAAGTATTTGTGCCGCCGAGGACGAAATGGCTGCAAGAAACCGTGCTGAGGATGAAATGGCTGCAAGTATTCTTGCCGCTGAGGACGAAATGGCCGCTAGAAAGCTTGCTGAGGACGAAATGGCTGCAAGTATTCATGCCGCTGAGGACAAAATGACTGCCAGAAAACTTGCTGGGGAGGAAATGGCTGCAAGAAATCATGCCGCCGAGGACGAAATGTCTGCAAGAAAGCAGGCTGATGAGGAGGAAATTGCTGCTGGAGATCTCATGTCTGAGGTGGAAGAAACTGTTCAAAACCATGCAATAGATGCTGAAGCTGGTGCAACAAAAGATGCATCTGATGCAATAAATCATATTCATAAGCAATTAACCCCACCATCAGACGAAGCTCCAGCAGAATTCGAAGAACCTGTAGAAATCCCCGCCTCGAATAAAAATTCAGTACTGAATGATGACGAGCTTCAGAACCCAAAAGCAGCTGAGGAAGCTACAAAACATCCCACACTCAATGAAAAATCAACAGAAGATAATCTGTCGCAGAACCAATCTGAAATTACAAATCCTGATCAAAATGTGGAGTTCATTTCTGAGCTATCAGTTGATAGGTTGCCTAACAAACAACTAGAAGTTGAAGCAGTCGCCTTATCTGAGAGCATTAGTGATGGCGAGAAGAAACCTGAGATTGATTCTGATGTGAAACTTCCTCCTGTTGTTAGTCCAAATGAGCTGTGATGAGCTTTTCTCTTGTTCGCCATTGATGGAGTTGAGTTCATCCATTTTTTCTTGTTCGCCTTTTTGCGGCAATAGTCCTAACTCAAGCGTGGCTCGGTATGTCTTCATATTCAAGCTGTACGTGTATTTGATTATGTTATAGACGACATAAAATATATCTTTCACGATTTGTGTCCCTTATGAAAGTGGTGGGAGGATGGATGGTTGATTTAGGGATGAGTTTAGTAAATTTTATTGGATTTACTAAATCCCATTAAATCCGGATTTAGTAAATCTTAAGGTTGTTAAATCCTGAAAAATGTTTGGTATGAGAAATGTTAAATCTTGTTAAATTGTAAGAAATTGTTTGATAATATATTATAGGATTTATGACAGTTAGGGGTTTAAATATGAAGATGATAATTATAAAGTAATGTTAAATTTATAATTTAAAAAAAAAAAATAATGTATTATGAATTTAATAATATGTTAAGTAGAAGTTATATTAATTAAGTTAATTATATTAATATTTAATTATGAATTATTCAATTAACTTAAATTTAGATAATTAATATATGCACTAATTATATGATTAATACTATAATTATTAGTTGTGACTCATTTTATATTTAAAAGCAATCACATGTATTATTTGATTAATTTAAATAAATGAAATATGAGAACATATGTCGTAGGGGCAATGCTTTGAGAGAAAGTTGTTTATAGCATTTTATTTTAATGTATTTCAGATATTAGTGGCTCTTTCTATGTATTGGAAATAATTTGTCATAAATGAAAATGTAAGCAACCGTCCGACCGTCTGTTCATATCTCATTAATTTGAGCCTCCGGACTGAATTGTGACATTAAATAACCACTAAGAAGATCAATGAATAGAGATAGCTTGAGCCAGTTGAAGATACATGCAGATTTATTCTTATATGACTAAAAGTGTGCTCCCATATATCTTTAGCTGTCTGGCAGAATATGAAGAATGGATATGAAGAATAAATGAACGATGTTCTTAATATCATATTTCCAGATACCAAAAGAAGCCAATGGATAGACACCTAATGCAAGGCTTCATTTGGAATAATTTTTTATCTCTATTTTTTTTTTAAAAATAGTAATAAATTTGTCTCAAAGAAGCTCACGTTAGAATGTCTTACCCAGAACAAAATAGAATAGCTGAATGATCACTAGGCTCATCAAACAAAGATTTAAAGTTGCAATTTTGATTAAATACAAGCTTATTAGGATCATGAAACTAATTTCTTTCATTTGTCTCGAGTCATTTTGTTAGCCAACACCTATTATATTTGATCAACTCCTAATGACCATCAATCGTTGTCGACCGTGCTCATGCAACATAATAAAATAAACAAATCAATACAAGTAATACTTAAAATATTGATTTTTTTAACACTGTTTGTCTTGGGCTGTTGATTGGGAGCTTTGAATATCAACCAAGAGGTCATTTGTTCGAGCCTTGTTTATGTGATGTGTGTATGAATTTGACTTAATTGATCTAAACGTTCATTAGAAAAAAATATTGATTTTCACTTTCTTCATTTTTGACTTTCAATTGCTAATTTTTATTTTACATGCATATTTAAGTGCTTATTTGATTTAGTGTATTATAAGCTTGTAACTAATGTAATGCTAAAATCTTGTATGGCTTACTAGGTAGCATATATCATATGATCTTCTTTTTATAGCATTGAAGAAGTGCTCTTGAAATGGAGAAATTATTCTGTGCAGAGTCCAGACGAAAAGAACCATCCGAACTGTGATGGTACACAATGTATACATTGATTTGATACAAATGCGTACACATATGTACACTAATATGTCCGGACGATTCTTCTTATCTGGATTCTGCACAGAATAATTTCTCCTTGAAATGAGCAAGTTTTGGAGATTTAAGTTTTATTTTTTACTTTTAAAAGCTCCTTTCTCAGTGATAGTTTTACAAATATTTTTCTAAAAATAGCATTTTAAATATAGAAGTTTGAAATAGCAATAAAAAAAGTTATGTTCTCAATACATATTATTTTTCACTGGCTATTTTTCTCACCACCAAAGCAGTGCAAAAACTATTCTAAACAAAGTCTTAGAATATGAGACTTTTTTAAATATGGACAAAATTTTAATAAGTATGATTTTAAAAATTTTAGATGATATAAGAATGATCAATTAATTCTTATATTATATCTATCTTAAAATAAATATAAAAATTATAAATCTCATTCTAATAAAATTTTAAATAAATATTCACATCCAATCTTTTTTCCATTAGAATAGAATGAGAGTTACTGCTGAAGCAAAAAAATGTTAAAAAGATCAATAAAATGAGAGTTACTGATGTAACAGCACTGTGAGCAGTTATCCATCCATTTATTTCCTTATTTGGTTATGCAGTCAGTCACATTGGGCATTAATCATTTTATCACTTGCATTTTTGGTTTTCTAAGATTTTATATTTATTTGATTATTTATCATTTTGAAGTAGAGTGTGTTAGAATATTTTTGAAATATGAAGTTTATTTTCTGAAGAGGTGCTCGTTGAATTTTCTTTCATTTAAGGAGTCAAATAATTCATGGCTATGGTCGGCCTATAATTGTTGGATGATGATGTTCGGGTGACAACAGACACAAGATAGCAATTTTGTGACGACTGTTAGGTGGCACATCAGGGTTGATCTTTCGATCAGACTAAGTTTTCGTTTAGGACGTCTTTCTTATTACTTCTTAAAGCGACTTTTTAGTTAAAAATTTAAAATTTTAGTATTTTAGTACTAGAAAGCCGCTTTAAGAAGCAATAAGAAAGACGTCTAAAAGTAATTTTCTAGCACAAAAATTTTAATATTTACATTAAAAAGCTGCTTTAAGAAGCAGTAAGAAAGATATTCTAAGACTTCATTTGAGACGACTTTCTTACTGCTTCTTAAAATAATTTTTTAGTAAAATAAAATTAATTTTTGTACTAAAAAACTGCTTTAATAAACAGTAATAAAGCAATCCTAAAAGAAACCTAAAAGTTATTCAAATCATCAAGCTTTCTTCAATTATAAGTCATTTTATAAGAAGAATATGAGCCTATTTTTAAGACTTTGGGGAGCAGATCGATTCGATTATAGATCTATTTCTGACCTTTTGATTTGATCATTTGGCTATAATACAAAGCTTATAGATTCTAACAAGTTTACTCTTTTACAAAGTTCAAAGGCATTAAAATTTAATTAATTTGCTTTCTACTATTTTATTTTCAATTTTTTCTATAAATTTTACAAATCAGTTGTCTTCTACTATTTGAGATCAAGATGCAGAAAATAGACGGAAGAAAATATAGCAGGTATAACTGTATGCCAATAAATTATTTCTTGCTCAGAAATAAAGGACGAAGTTTGGGACACTATTGTAGTACTTTTTAAAACAGTTTTTAGTAAAAAAATTTAATTTTTATACTAAAAATTATTTTAAGAAATAGTAAGAAAGCCGCCCCAAATGAAGGAATTTTTATTTGGTCCGGTCACCTGAAGTAGCTCTACGTTCGGACGCCAGTAAAATAGTGTCTCGTGTTCTCATTATTTACCACACAGCCAGACAACCCCGACCCGGAACGAAGACGGGATTGCTATGTTTGCATGTTGCTAGGTATTGCTCGGTATTTGCTCGGTGTTGGTCGATTTTGCTCAGCAATAACGAGAAATACCATTCTGTGAAGACCAATACCGAACAATACTGAGCAATACCGAGAAATACCGAGCAATACCGAGTTTTTCTTTTAGTATAAAAAAAATAATTTTTTATTAAAAAGTAGCTTTAAGAATCAATAAAAAACAAAATTAAAATGAAACCTTAGGCTTCTTTTAAGACAACTTTCTTAGTATTTTTTAAATCACTTATTTAATACAAAATTAAAAATTTTATATTAGAAAGCTAATTAAAAAAGTAAATAAGAAAGCTAGGTTTCATTTGGAATGACTTACTTGCTATTTCTTAAATAAGTTTTTTAATAAAAAAAATTTAAACTAAAAATTTTTGTAATGAAAAATTATTTAAAAAAAAAACAGTCCCAAAAAAACCCTCATTATTTTCTGCTAAATTCAAAATACTTAATACTAAAAAACTAAGAAAATCATAAACATCAAAGATAAAGCTTGATTAGCTCCTCACACGCTTCCTTGCAGCATGGAAAGAAGGCTGCTGCAGTAAGAATTCAAAAGCAAAGATCTAAACACAATTACATGACACTAATCACACTTAATTATTAGTTAACTAACATTAATGGCGGCCATTCTGCTGTGCAGCTTCTCCCTTGACAACCACCTCCGTCAGATCGATCTCTGTGGTCTTTTTACGTGCCTCCAGCTGCTGCTTTGTCGATTTGTAGTACAGCATATGCAGGACGAGTTGTGCTACCGAGAAGAAAATTCCAAGGCTATTTGGAATCTATAAGAATATCAATCAGAAAATAATCAAGCTATTAATGTTAGTATTATCTGAGATTAGAGTTAGAGCTTCTATAATTGTTCCAGCATTATGAGAAAGTGAAGGGAAGGAGATGACGCATGAGCTTCTTACAGTGATAAAGAGGTCAAATCGCAGAAGGGCATAAGCAGTCCAGCAAACGCCATTAAAGAAGGAAGCAAGAGAGAGAAATAATGGCATGTATTCTACACTCTTTGTCTGTATCACCAATTTCTGTAAATGAACAAAGAAAGGAACTTGATCAAACATATCAAGTAATGGTTTAAAGTAACAAAATAAACTCTCCTTCCATATGTTAACGTCATTAAGTGGTCCTTCACAAATTTAATATGTTAGTTGAGTTGTTAATTTATTTTAGTTGTGGGGAAAATCCAACCTTGCAAGTTGCAACCTTTCTTTGAAGTGCCGCAATGGGAGGATCCCTCAATCACTTTTTCTTAATCCAATTTGTTCCCCTTTTCATTTACAATTAGTAATCGACAAGCAAAACCTAATTAACAAATTACCTTGAAAGCTCAATTAACTTGAGTTAAAAATGAAGGAGTCTTATGTGGATCAATATGACTGGCTTGATGAGTTTGTTTCTTCTACTTGCGATGGTGTTACGGAGAAGTTTGGTGGGTTTGAAGATCGAGGAGTTTCAGGTTGATTTTTCTTCGTTGTTTCTTCCTTGCAGGGTGTCATCTAGATGGATCTCTTTTGGTCATGGGGTGGACTGATCTTTACACCGGTTGAAGTCTTGTTTGACCTTTTCTACTGTTCGCACTGGTTGCTTCATGTTAGTCATTCATGGGTGGCTCACTTTATGATCCTGACTTTAATTTTTTGTCTTTCTTTTTGTTTAATTGTGTATTTAGATTGAATCTAATGCTCGTAGGTTTTTCTTTAATTGATATATTCTAGTGGGCTTTGGATTCTCTAAGTACTTATATCATTGCTTTTATTGAACACGGAGGCCCTTAAGTGGGTTTTACCAAAAAAAAAAAAAAAGCTAATTACTACTCTGATCAGAAAACATAATTACAAAGCTATATACGTACCATTACGGCCAAGGGGGCGACGTACATCATCGTTCCAAAGACGATACAAATGACACCGACGACGAGCGACCGCCGCTCATGAGTCTGCAGAAGCCCGATCACGAGGCCGGCGACAAGCCCAACGAAGGCGATCTCCAAAGCCAGTAGGCCGAGCACGCGACGGCGTTGCTTGCCTTGCGAATGGGCGAGGAATAGAACCACATAAACAAGCTCAATAGCAGTGCCGGTGCCATTTATCGTCAGAACCAGAGTACTTTTTGGGTGCACTAGCGGTAGACCGTAAACCACCCAGAACATACAATTGAGAAGAGTTGCTAAGTAAGGAGCTGCAGAGAATTGCTCCACCGATTTGGTCTTACAGATCCTGCGAAAAGTTGGCCTGCAAATTTTTTTTTTATTTTTTATAGATGTTAGTGGAATGTGTTAGATTAGACATGCAGAGGTATGGAGATTAGTATGAAATGGAGGTGATTAAGATTATGATTGCTTACAGCGGGGAGAGGAAGAGAATAAGGGATAAGCCATTTCCTGCAAGAAAAAAAAGAGATTAATTAATAAGAAATCTATTTTGCTGAATTCTGGGTATTTTTTTGTCTTGCATCAACATTTGATTAAAAAATATATTGTCATTGATTTTGAGTAAAATTTTAATCAGAATTTTTAAAATGATTAAATAATTGTCTTTTATTATAAGAATTTTTAGTAGAAATTGAAGAAAAGAAGCAAAGTATGTTTATTTAATTTTTTAAAAATATTTTGTATAATTAAAAAATCATAGATTGCTCAGCCACATGTCGGCAAAGAATCTGGATAAGATCAATGGCTTTGTACATCACTAAATAAGATAAGACATTTTTCAAATTGATAAGATTTGTCACTTTAAGGAACAATTATTACATCCTCCGACTGAATGACCGAATGAGAGAAACATTCGGTCGCAGGAAAAAATCGCGCGGTACCGAGGTGTACCGAGTTTTTCAAAAAACTCGGTACACCTCGGTACCGCGCGATTTTTGGTAGAAAGGCTCAAACTGCCTCTATTTTTTAATTGCATAGTAATATATAATATATAATATATATATATATATATATATATATAAATGGATTATATATTATATATAATATATAATAAGTAATATAAGTATTGTGATGTAAAAATTTAATGATAATTTTAATAATATGACTAAAATTGATATCTTTAGTAACAAATATTTTTACGCTCACCATCAATAATCATACTTAAAAATAAATCTGATTTAAAATAAAAAATAACATAACTAAATGATATTTCGTTAAATAATTTGGTTAAAATATTAAAAACTCAAATTATGATAATAGCTTAGATGAAACTTTATTAGATATGAATTTATTTCATAATTAACACCTGCAACTTTTTAAATTAACCTAAAATTTTTATTA